AGGTATTGTAGAAAATTCGTCCACAAAATACACACAGTCACACTAATATATTACACAAAATGCACCTGTTTCATGTAGAACTATCTTAGTTGAGCACTATATCAAATGCATGGACTATTAATAAAATGATTACCTGTAAATATCTACACATAAATGTTGTGCATAATAATAATAATCCTTGCAATAATAATACTTGCACATGAATATAACAACTTTGCTACAATTTACCTGAAAAATAAAATAGCCCGATGTATGACCTGCTGCTCAATGTGTGATCTGGAGCAGATTCCTTAAGTCTCTCCAAAAACTCTAAGGTTTTGATAACATTGAACTTATTTATTAGTCGTGAGGAATTATAGGTGATTTTGATTTGACCCAAGTCAATACTCATTCTCAAACTACACCTGCTGTATGTAGTTATCTTAGATGAGCATTGCTGTAGGCAGTTGTGGGCAGTTACTTAACATGAACATTTCAGAGAAGAGGGTCTCCGTGTCTCTTACATGCACACATGAAACATCACTGCTTAGAAACAAAGATCCGGTAAAAATAATAAACCCTGTGTTTTGATTGCTCTTGAAAATAGATATGTTCCACCCAGCGGTAGAGTAAAGTGCTAACGCAGGCCTTTTATCACTTACTGACACACAAATAACTTTTATTAGAAACAAATTACATTCCAATCATTAAAGAAAACAAGACAAATTGAATTGCTCTGGCAAGCTTCCCACTTTGGGAGTATGACCTGGGTGGAGTTTTCCGTTACATAAATCAGCCGGCTGTCCCAATGCACATCACCACCCCCCCAGTACTGTCAACTCCACCTGATGTACTTGCGGTGATTGAGCAGCTCTGCGTTACTGTACTAGCTCGATGTACCCAGGCAATTTGCCTTACAGAGAACGTGTTTTATCTTCCAATTTATCACTGCTGTAAAAGCCTCACCAAAGCTCAAACTAAAGGGAAGTCGAACGCTTATCCTCACTGTGTCCTGGTCCCTCATATCACTACGTACACTTAGGTAACAACGTTTGTTAACACATACACATATAATTTTAGGCATCACCAGTGCCAGAATTTATCGATAATTTGTTGAGGATGAAATTAAAACTGGGAACGTCTAAATCCTCCACGCAGATAAACCTGCGCGCAAGTGTAATGCTTATCACATCCACAGCTTGTTTTTTAATCTACGCCCTGCATGGGATTTTGACGAAATTACAGTTTAAAGGAGTATCCTCCGTAGTTTGACTGTAGAGATGGTGTTTTCATGGATCCTCACAAGACTAATTGTACGGGGTGCACTGTAATATGAGCGCAGATGTTTACTGTCCAGCTGTCACAGTGGGAGTGGCTTTCGGAGGGGGAAGGGCGTGCGGTTGCAAGTGGGAGTCAGGCATCTGCAGTTGGAATTCACAGACTCTCATTTACTTTAGTGGGACTAGTTAAACTTTTAACAACCCCTAATTAAAGGAGATGGCTTCAATACACCAACTGCACACGTTAACTCTTTCCGCACCAGGATTTACCGAGCTGCGTGTAAAATGTCAGCTGTTGCGGAGACTGGAATAGTTCATCTGGAACTGTTTGCATCTTATTAACAGACTGTTTGAATTCTTTGCATTTCTGCTACAGAAAATGTATTAAAAAAAAGTGATTTATTCTACAATTTTTGAATTCGCCTTTGATTTTTAAAACAAGCTGTAATGTTATTCCCCCCCTCTCCTCCAATTCTGATGCAATCCACCTCTGCCCGATGTCTTGGTGCTGTGGACCGTTACCCAAATGAAAAGGCAGGGAGAAAGCCAACTCTTCTGCATCTGCAGATAACATCTCCAGCGACCTGGCCCACCCTCTGGGGAAGTGCTTTCACTCACGCCAGATGGTCTGCCTTTAATGGACAACTCAACAGCTCATCACAAGAGAAACCCCAAAGTAACAGGGAACAACCTGCACGCACACTACACCAAGCCAACGAGGCATTGTCTCCGGACACCTCTGAGCACGAACAAAGTAATGACTTTGCATCGGAAATCTTACACTGCATAGTTGTCAAGGAGTCAGATGGCAGAACTGAAAATTTAAGCCAAATGCACAATAAACTCTTTCAGCCCTGACAAGTAATGGATACCCAAATTAAATTGCGACACGCAAATGTTTTGAGTTCCGAGTCTGTATCTTAATTCTGTTGTCAAACTTATAACACGGCTTGTTTTCTTAAAGGAGGGACATCCCTTAATCTGCCATTGATTATGAATTTGCCAATATTCTGGTTCAACTGTTAACAATGCAGAACATTAAATTTGCTTAAACTTCCTACTTTTTAAAAAAAATGGAAGTGAAATTATACTTCTGCTAACCGGTGAGCCTCAGAATATTGATTGCAGACAGGAGGTACGAGGACTGTGTCATCTCTATCTCTGTGTGATCGTCTTCGTTCGAGTACTAGGTAGCAATTGATGTGGGATGACAAGAGAGATACTGTACTAAGTATCGATCTGTTACGGCCTAAATATTCCAACTGTATCAGTCACTGCACCTGCCAGAGACATCAACAGCAATAACTTGCACTTATACAGCAATCTTTGTGCAGAGAGAACATCTCAAAGCACTTCACAGAGATGGGGGGAATCCCGAGCTCGGAGGAAGTTGGGGGAAGGGCTGGTGGTGGAAGGCTCAGTTAAAGAGACGGACGTGTCTTTAAATGGGGTTTGAAAACAAGAATGGGTGGGAGCAAAGTGGGGGTGAGTGGGGGAGGGAGCTGGTGGTTGGAAGAGAGCTTCTGAGGGCTGAAAGTTTTCCCACCATGGTGGGGCAGAGCGGGTGGGGGCAGGGAGCAGGCCGGGGTTGATGGAGTGGAGAAGATGGCCGGAGAGTAAAGTCACAGGAAATCAAGGCAATGAATGCATTTGAAGCTAAGGATGGGGTTTATAAAGTCCATCCACAAAGGGACAGGGACCCAGCTGAGGCAGGAAGATTACAGGAGGCACATATTTTTCTTACGTTGACTGAACGTGAGGACACACAGAACATCATCCTCCAGTTTTATGGTCATGTTACTGATCATTTCAACAAAACAAAAAAAAACACATACCAATCGTGAATTGTGTTAATTGCTGTTACAGAATGTCATGTGTGCAATGTCATCGCTCAAGCAAAACATTCATAAAACAGCATTGCAAACAGAAACACAAGTCAACGTCAGGTGAAGAGCGAAGCCTGTTTCACCCTCAGTGTAGACGCCACAGTGGGGCATGGGTTAACAGGAGACCCATTAACACTCAGAATGTAAAAAGCATGCTTTTAGCCTGGGGAATCGTGGTATAAAACAACTGTGAAAGCAAAGCAGTTTATCGTAAATTTGGAACAAATCCAAATAAAAAAAACAAATCCCTGAAGGTAGAGTTACTCGAAAATTAACTGGAGCATGAGTTGAGGTGAAGCCTGTGCAAATAATTCATTGACCCAGATAAATGGAGTTACCACAATTAGATGTTTTGCTGTCGTAAACAAAATCCCCACTGTTGACTTCTCAAAGGTAACTTATAATAATAATAATAACAATAATCCCTCCATTTGATATAGGGCCTTACCATGTCGTTGAGACATCTCAACACGTCTAAGAATACATTGTGCATTGGACGGCCTGTAAATGTTTGTGGGGGAAACAAAATATGAATCATCGATATAAAAAAATCCTCAAAAAAAAGTGTGGGCAGGAAGATCCTTCAGCATTTAAAATGCCGTTTCTGCTCTTGTCCCGCTCAATAAATGCCCTGGTGTCAGAAGCTGCACACATAGTCCACCCGAGGATTGTGACAAATGTATTCGTACAGTGCCCTCCTTGCAGGGACAGAGCCCAGCACAGGAAATTCCAAACGCAAGTACTTACTGTGGAAGGCAGGAAGCCTCGTTTCAATGATTTCCTCAAATTCCTTCTAATAAGCTTGCGTGGAAAACCGACTTGCAAACCTCAGTCGCTCCCAGGAAAGGGAAAGTCTGTCACGGGAACTTTCCGTCTGCTGTTGCTCCGACGCCTCCCGAGAAGAATAAACGTCAAAAATTTTAAGCTTTTGAGTAATTCAGGTGGCTCCGTACATCTCTAATCCCAGCACATCCTCACTCCCTTCTACAAATCCCTGGCACCTCCTTATCTCTCCTGATTTTCTCCTAACCAACTCATCTGCTATTTTCTCCTAACCAACTCCTGTGCTCAGCTAACTCGGTCTTGCTGCAAATCCCTCACCCTTTCTGTGTCACCATCGGTGGGTGACCAGGCCTTCAGTTCCTACGCCACTAAACTCTGGAAATTCCTCTGTCAATGCCTTTAACTACACACACCTGCCAAAGCCAACCCACCCCATCCCAACCCCTTCTGCATTAAGTTCCACCTCAAAACCTATCTCCTCTCCCCTGTCTTTCTTGCCCAGTGTCCAACCCATTCTCGTAAAACACTCCAAAGTGATTACCCTACATGAAGGGTGCTATATACATGCTTATTTGTGTTGTTATGCAGCCAGAACACTTGGAAGGAAAGATTACCAGGGGCTGTGAATTTATAAGTAGCCCACAATTATAATTTAGCATGGTCTCCCTTTAAATAGTCTTCAGAGAGGAAGAGAGGTGACCTGTAGTAAATTATACTTTCGTGGGTGTGAGTTCCAGTCCTCTCATGTGAAGGGCAACTTGCCAGACTACGATGTAAAAAAAGTACAGTAGTTGAATCCTCTGCGTCAGCCATAAATAAAATACAGGGGGAACGTAGAGATTATATCTTTTGTTATTCTTTTTATCGTGCACACAAGCTTTGAAACTTCTGAGGTCTTTTTTTCATAGTCTGTTTACAATTACACGATTATATTTGTTTGAGAACCACTTTATTGCTTGAATTATGATACGGGAAAATTACAACACTATAAAACGTGTAGTCTGAGAGGAAACATCGGGACCTTGTGTTTAGCAACTGTTACTATCAAAGGCTAACCTTACATTTCCATTAGTTCCAGGATACTCCAGGTTTTCTGGCAGTCTTGCCTCAACCTTCCTCCCTATGAGCCATCTGGATCACCACGGAAACGGCAACAGTGTTCTCTACGGTCAGCACCACTTCTACGAGACACAAAAAGGCGAGTAAAATAGCCCATCAAACACAACTTATTCCGTAGTTGGCTCATAAATAAACATGGCTTCTGACCCACAATGAAACTCTCTTCTATTTCATTGCAATTTTGGCTTTATGGAACATAAATATCCATGACTATTTACCCAGCCTGATCTTGTATATCTCAATCTATGTATCATTTCCAACTAGTCAGGGGCATAATTTTGCTATGTAATGTGACACTGTGTTTTTAAACAGGAACGCTCAGTTTGAATATAGCGTGACTTACAAAAAAAAATTCCTGGTGAATTATTTCAACTGTTTTCGTTTCACGGGAGAGCAATGAATCTATTGCATTTCTGATATTTAATTCAATTCGAATTCCATTACCTCATTGATTTATATTATGTTTTTAATACCAAAGCGAGAGTTTATTCTAACATTTCGGATAGTGTTGCGCCATAAATGGCTTGTAGACCAAACCCAACCTGCAATATTTGTACAGGGCCTTTGAGACACTCACAATTTGAGAAATACCAACCAGCCTGACCGGTTTTATTGATCTGGTACTGGCTGAGGTTGTGTTGTGGCAATCCCTGTAGTGACCTGTCCTGCGAACTGAACTACAGTGCACTGTACCTCAGAAGCCCTCCGGAAATGGTTAAAGCAATTTTCATTCGAAAGTGTCCATTCTTTCAAGAACAAGTTAGATAGATTTCTGTTCGGATATACAGTATATAGTTTGTGCACGCCACTGATGGTGATGGTAGTGGAAGGCGAACTGAATGGACCTTGGTCTTTTTTCGCCTGGCAATTCTTATGTTCTCATGTTCATCCCTCTTGAAAGAGTTTCTAGCAACCAGTGCTGGAGGAGGTGGCAACTTCTAGTGCCCAAAGTGAGCATTTTTCGTCTCAGAGTCAGGATATTAACTGATTCTATTCCCAATCCCCTGAATTTTTAGGGAGTAAAATTTCACTGATTGGCAAAGTCACCAAACTTGACAGAAAACATATAATGGGTGGGACGGGGCAGGTCGGGAAATAGAACTACTGTATTATGCCACCTTTTGCTGATCGTGGGGGGAACAAATGACACGCAGAAAGAGAACGGAAAAAATAAACAAGAGGGCAATAAAAAAGAGAGAGAGAAAGAGAAGATAGCAATTAACAAAAACAACAACAACAAGATTCCATTTATAGAGCGTCTTTCACGTCGGGAGGACATCCCAAGGCGCTGGACGGTTGGGTCAGGACCCTCTCAAAAAGAGAGATGATAGAGACACAAAGAAGCAAAGTGCGAGGGAGTGGCCAGAAAATTCATAAAGAGGAATAAGAAATAAGATGAAGCGAGAACAAAAAACTGAGGAGCTTGGCAGAGCGCAAGTGTTCTAACAAGCTGTGCTGGGAGCATGGGTTTGCTTCACCAGTGAATCTCTGTGTAGCAAGTCTGTAATTCTACTCCTAGCATCCGTGGAGGATGGGAGCTTAAGTTTGATGCTTTGCGATGTGATAGGAGGAATAATTAGTATGCGAGTCACCACTCGTCATTATCATGCACTACATGTTCGTACATTGCCATACTCAGATAGATACATTGTGCTGCCTGAAGTTGAACAGGTTTTACACTTCCAGTCTAGAGTATTAAGTGCTTCAAAACATTCGTCCTACATGAAAAGTGCTGACTGAATAAGCACAAGTTGTTTTGTTGCATTAGTGCTCAGGTGGACTCATTTAACACAGAGTGACGCCCAATTAATATTCCTCCTGTACCTTATCTGAATCTATGAAACTGTTAAACAGGGGAGAACTGCTTATCTCACAGACTGGAAATTTGTGTTTATGCACAAATTTATCTTTATCTTCACACCTCTGCTTTGTGCTGCTTGTTCATCAAGCCTTAGTCCTGTGCTGCCGTGTTTCCCATGAAACCACAATACAACACCGCAGGGTGGTGTCTGATTAAGATAGACTGCAGACGATTGTGCAAAACACCACAGAAATGTGGGTTTTCAGTTGAGCAAAAAAAGGAGTGTAAAAGAAGATGGAGCCAGCTGGCTTTGCTGATGTTATCAGGCTCTTTCTTATCTTACAGATGGTTTCTATCTGAGGAATCTACCAGGACAGCCAACATTACTCTCAACCAATCATGGTTTTCCTTCCATACCACGAAATGCACCTGGCCATCCCAATTCCTGCAGCAGAGACAGGGAGGTGAGCCAATCCCAGAAAAGCATCAAAGAATCAGAACGGCTCTTATCTGCCAAGGAGTCCGGGAAAGAACGCATGAGCAAAAGCGAAGGCACTTCTGTCAGCAGTCAAAGGACACAAAAGGAGAGGCATTCAGAAGGAGATGGGAAAGACAGGCATAAGATCGTGTTGCCACTGATGCCAGATGTAAGATGCAAGGACGACACTACAAGTATGCACGGTAGCATTTGTGACAACAGGAACAAACATCTCAACAGCTGCTTAACAAACTCCAAAGTTATGAACGGAGATTCCAGTAAGAATTTATTATCAAGCTGCACTAATATCGGTGGGATTTTACCAAGGCAAATGGACATTCATACCCCAGGCAGGTGTACCAAAGAGAGCTTAAGGTTTGAGAGGGACTTCAGAGAAAATGGTTCCTGTGGTCCAATGCACAGCGAGTGCTCAGACAGTTGGCAAACTGCACACCATTCTTCAGCATACTCTGTCCCTTCTTCTCTTTCCAACATTCCTCCGCCATCCAGCACAGCCTCCGGAACATTCCCCTGTTTGCAGGTTCATTCCAACTTAGACCTTTTTTACCCCAATCAAGAGAAGGCTGGCAGGGAGCTCAAGGTCACTGGGCCTACGTTTGTGCCTTCAGTGGGACACTTCCATGACAAAACAGGGCCTTTCCAGGTCACGGCGGAGAATTGCAGGGTCAGCAGAAGCATAGGCAAGGAGAAGACACACGAGAAAGGCACAGACCGGTCAGATATCAGGACGATTCCCAGCTCGCACGCTCTTCTAAAGGCAGACGGGAAGGGAATGGACTGGGCCCACAATTCAGCCATGAAATCCAAACAGCAGTGTGGGAGCACTGGTGCACAGATGGTGATGCCCTTCACACCTCAGGCAGCCAAGGGTCCCTCAGGGAAAGGAAGCACTTACGTTATGCCACAGTCTCAGGATTGTTTCTGCTCGAAGGAGATGGAGACATGCTGTGCCAAGCTTACCCACTCCGGCTACATGCTGGACCGGGAGCACGGCCATGAGGTCCACGAGAGAGCTTCGAAAGACTCCCACGGGCAAAAAGTGGCCAGGATAAGGCACCAGCACCATAAGCTTTCCGAGGTGGAGCACATAGGAAGCAGTTCGGAGATGAAGAGAAGGCCACCAGAGCTCAGTTGTATGAGCTACAATGGGTCACACTTACCACCGTGGCAGGGTCATCAGATCCCAATGGGTGAAGACAGGAAGAACTCCTATCTGGACCCTTTTAGTTCAAGTTTACAGCAGGCATCAATGTTGTCGCAAGGATCTGTGCTAAACCAGGACATGTTAGGTCAAACTGATGAGGTCTCAGCCATGAAGAGTTTGTTAAAATACAGCAGCTCCTTTCCTCCCGGCACACAGACCTTGATTGTCGGCCAGAAGACCCCTTTCGGAGGCCTGGGGAACATCAGGGCTAGCTGCGTCCATCAGGAAATCAAATTCCAAAGCGGGAAGTCACACCTGGACTTGGAGCGACCGGACTGTGCCAAAGGAAGGGAAGGCGAGCCATCTCACGGAGACGGAGAGGTGCGGCAGCCACCGGTGGGGATCGCGGTTGCCGTGGCGAGGCAAAAAGACACCCATAACAAGCACGAGATGCCTTGTGGCCCTGACTCCAGCAAACACAGCAGACACATGCCTGGTCTGAAAGGTGAGACACCCTCAAGGACCTAGATGAACTGTTTTGAAGATGGACTGCTATTGCCATACGTATTGTTCCATGGCATTGCCAGGAATAGGTCACCAGTGTGCTACCTTTTCCTTCCATCCATTAAGTGACCATTGTGCAGGCAAGATCGTTTTAAGTATAGTAATGCTTTTTGTTGCCTCCAAGCTAATCAAGCAGTGAACTCCCAACCAAAGTAGTTGCAGGTTTGTAACTCAGGCTCCCCTTTGGTTGGTTGAGGTTCATCATTGTCTTGAAATTTAAGATCACACAGAAATATGGAAAGTTATTAAATTTAGCCTTAATTTTGAAGCTGGTTTTCACGGTTCTTTTACTGAGTGCGAAAGGGCAGTTTCCAAATTGGACGTGACCAGAGAACAGTGATTCATGTCAGAACTAAACAAGCAAAAAACAAATAAACTGGAAAAAAATACTAGGAAGGAAGAAGGCAGGCTATACTCTTTGATAGAATACGTTGACCTTGATGGTCCCCCTTTTTTTTGCTAATTCTGAAATGAATGCTAATTCAGCAAGAATAGCCAAGCTTTGCAATCCCATGAAGTGAAACACAAAACTCCTTTCCATGTCAATTGCAATCGTTTATTTTGACACATGTCAGAACTGATCCAAAGTGGTTTCTACCACAAAAGCCTGCGTACAGATTTGCCGGAGAACTTCAAGTGTTCCTTTTGTTTCACACAGGTCCATCCCGCTCAACCTACATTATAGACCTGGAAGCTGAGGAGGAGAATAACCATCTCCGTGAGGAAAGAATGGGACTGACACGCCTGGACAGGGAAAGGGAGCACTTACTCCGGTAGGATCTTTATAATGGATTCATCCCTCTCACATGATATTATTAACAATAATAATAATCTTTTTTGCATTTGATATCACACCTTATCAATTCGCAAAAATGTGTCCCAGAGTGCTTCACAGGATTTACACTGTAAAGTGTAGTGACTGTGTTTGTAGCGAACGTGCATTTGTAACGGCCACCCTCTCTCTGTAGCTGACTTCCGAAAAATACGAAACAGCTCAGAGGAAGTTAGCACAGAATGATGACCTATATTGTTTTATCTCAGGCTGCCCTCAGAAGCACCAGGTGCTCCACAGACACAATTGTAACTGTACCATTTGGCCCTCAAAACACGCAGTCAATCCACATTTACAGTATAACCTGTGAAGCACTTCGAGACATCACAACGACATGATAAGGTGCTATATCAAATGCAAGAATTATTATTGTTATCATTATTTATATAATGCGCTTCATGTAGGATAACGGCTCATGAGCTTCACCGCCCAACTCCCAACACATGTTGTGACGGAGAACATTCTTTGGAGAATGCAGTCACATTTATGGATATTTTGCCGAATAATATTTCCGCATTTCGTGTAAGACATTCCAGTCGCAAAAGAAAATCAGACGTGTTCACACAACTCTCCAGATATATCAGCAATCTTTCCTGTTCGAGGGAAATACACAAAGATATCAAAATGTTTTGAACGTAAAGCCCAAAACATTAGGGTGGAATTCCTTCCTTATCCTCCACCCATATTCTCTGTAGAATGATAGGAATACCCCTAGGTATACTGATTATACTATCACATTGTCTTAAGGCTGCCTGTACGTTATGAAAGCAGTATGTGATGATGCCCTGTAACTTGAAGATTAATGTAATAATATTTTATGTTTTTTTTCCCCAATGCTTTGATTATCGCTAATTCAAACCGGGGTTGTCCTGATTTCAGAGAAAACAAAGAGCTCATGGAGTTTGCACGAATCCGTCCATCAAGTGGTTGTCCTGGAGACCTGAATCCAAACCTGATGGTCACTGGAGGATCATCCATTCAAGCCAGTCAATTGGGAACTGATCACAATGCACACCCCCACCTTACCCCTCCGCATTGGCTGCCAAGGACAGGCAGCCCCTCTGTGTGGATGGGTGGACATTCATACGGTCAGTCTTGCTCAACCAACAACACCCCAGTTTAATGTTTTCCATGTTGTCTGAGACTGCGCCAATTAGCCAATTAGCCAATTAGCAGTCACCTCTTTATTACCGTTTGGCGGATTGCTTTCTGGGGGTAATAATCCTTTACAAAAAATAATAATAATGTGGTCTGTCACTCAATCCACGACTTATTTGTGGGTGGGAGACTGCTGTGTGTAATTGGGTCCTGTGTTTTGCCCACAAAATACACAGTCAGTCCATTTTACTGTATATTCTGTGAAGTGCTTTGAGATGTCTCCACAACGTAATAAGGCTCTAAATCAAATGCAAGGATTATTATTGTTATTATTATCTGTTTTCTCTCTCTCAACCAAAGTGTCTCGGAATTTAATTTTCTCTTAATTTTCCAAGGTTAGGGAATTGCCAGTCAGCTTGCACATACTCCTTCAGATGATCCCAAAGGTAGTAATCATAGAGATTATGATCTGGAGAATGAAGAGCTAAATGTACTCTGAACAGTAAATAAAAGGAGACAGTTTTGAAGGGAACTTCCCTTGAAGCCATTAGAACATAGAATTACCTCTACTGTGGAAGATAGTCACATCTTCTTGTCTAGTTATAGGAGTAAAAGTGTTGGCGTCGGTTCCTCCAGTCTTTGCGGTACGTTTTGAGTGTGATCTGAACATATCGCCAAGGCGAAATCCACAATTTTGAGCTCTTTATTCTGATGATGATAATAATTATAATCCTTGCATTTGATATTGTGCCTTATCACATCTTGAAGACGTCTCAAAGCGCTTCACAGAATATACTGTAAAGTGAATTGACTGTATATTTGTTGTGGGCAAAAAGACTTAGCATGCAAAAGCATCAAACATATACATTTCCTTCCGGAGCTAAAACAGTTCGAAACGATAGTGAAAAAAATATAAATAGAACAAAGATTTGTCAGATCAATCACTGACCCAATGTGTCAGCATCAACGTTACTGAAGGGGACCAAAGTTCCCCAAAGAAAGCAAATGAAATAACGTTAGGTTTACCATCAGGTCTTGCTTCCAGAATGTGCTCTTTCATACATCACTATATCTCTAGTGCCAAAGTAATCCAGTAATTACAATGGGGGGAAGTATCTGATTTCTACGTCTGAAGCTTAAGCCTTCTCACAATATATTAGAAAGGCAGTTCTGCTTTTTGCTGAATTTGAAAGTGCAGCAACTTTTCCGCATAGTTTCAGAACATTGCCCTTTACTGATATCCAGAACAAATACAGCCTTACAGGATACTGCGTAATATGGTGTTGCTTCCAATTGTGCCCATCTCCATCAGCTAATATCTTTGTGTAACTAATGCATGGCAATTCAGATTATACATAAAAACAACATTGACTGAATTACTGTACGTTTCCTCCTCAGCATTTCGTGGGTTCTTTTCCAGCTATTCCTTCAGTCAAAGTGGCTAATTTTCAGTCTGTTCCAAACTAGAGTTAATCTTCCCAGCTGGATTGAGGATGGTCGCTGTGCCCTTCACAGTCATTGCTTCTGAATGCTTCTTCAATTATCCCTAAAAGCAGCAGTAGTGTGCTTACTGCTGCCGTTATCATCTTGAAGCATCTCCAGAAATTGCATTGGGGTTGGATTGACAACTTTATCACCGATATCATCCACGATCTTTAGTTAACGGTGTATCGACCACCCACGTTGAGTTGTAATTCATTTAAACGCCCTTCTGCAGGAGAATAGATATAAATATTTTTTTAATTGACAAACAAAGAAGAAACTTAAAAGCAACACTTGAGATCGGTAACATTTGAATGTTACTCGCAATGCTAAATCACTCACTGCGAACAACAAGTAGTCTTTTACATGGGGGGGTAAAAACTGGTCACTTACTAAAGATATTCAGCTCAAAGCAGTTTTGCAACATCGCAATTACACCTGTTTAATCGCATAACTTGTGGTGAAGTTTCAACTAAAGGAAGGGATTCCTTCGAAGGGAGAAGTAGAAGGATACGCATTATCCTGTTATTTTAATTTTAATGCGCTGCATTTTGGCAGACTGTCAAAATAATCTCACAGAAGCCATATAAGACATGATGCAGAACAGAATCATATGTGATTCGAGTGGTAAACAGGATAAATTCTATAATTGGTGCATGACTCATGGCCTCTGTGTCTTCTTTCCTATTTTTATTCAGTTGCTTTTTATGATTATGTTTGTCTGTTTCATCTGCCTTTAATTTCCTTTCTTTTCTACTCTCTATCTAAACCTCCGTTGCATCGCAGGGTGCACTGCCCGCACTTCTGAGTTTTCATTCATTCTTTGTTTGTGTTTCTGACATCGTTTCCTTTTCCACCTTTTTCCCTTTTTTTTACCCCTTTGTTTCCTTCTGGAAGGCCACTTCAAAACACTTCTTGTTTTTTTTTTGGGGTGTGGGGGGTGGCAGGAGGGAAAGAAAGTTTACATTTCCACACAAAAAAAAGTATCCCGTCTGGAATATCAAACCCAACGGGGGAAAAAATGGAAGTTTGCCATGATCTCTCACAATGAAGTTTTTATTATCCAAGGGAAACGGGGTATTTTTGAAACTCTCTTTTATCACACCCTGCGGTAGTTTGCATTTTCACTGCCATTTCTGACTTTGACTTTATCGCTTTGGTAACACTGCTATAATTATACTTCCTTCCTAACTTCCTGTGGATGGGGACCATGGGGTTGGTTAACCAATCAATGGTTAATTTATTGACCTAGCAATGTGAACTTGTAATAGGATTATACTCCATCCCCTTCCATTGATAAATTTACCGACCACTATCTCTATTCTGTAGGTTTGGTTGCTTTCTTTCTTGTTTTTCTCTTCTCAAAACCTGACCGGTAAGGTTGCAAACAGCGGAGCAAAAAAAAAACTGAAACACATGCCCGGTGATGGGGGAAAGGTTTGGCGTAAATATTGACTGATTACTGAATGTGTTCAGTCAATATGATATTTTTATCCAAAAGGCTAATTGTGTATAAATGTATATCTGGAGAGTTTGACTGCGTGGAAAGTCATTCTTCTAACCTTGTAAAGCTCATCGATCAGGCTACGTTTGCAATATCGGGGTCTCACTGAATCTTGGTGATTTAAATGACGAAAGTTCCTAAAGTATCCCATAGAAATGTCCTGGCTGTGCCCTAGGAAGTGCCACCGACACTGTCTTCAAAGCCATTGTCCGTGAAAACATTTTGCGCGTTTCATTTCTGGATCACACTTTCTGCTGCTAGTTAAATAATAATAATATTCCTTGCAGATGTACAGCGTCTTTCAAGTCGGGAGGACATCTCAACGTGCTTTAAAGGATTTTACTGTCAATAATAATATAATAATCCTTGCATTTGATATAGCACCTTATCACATCTCAAGGCACTTCACAGAATATACTGTAAAGCGTATTTACTGGATTTTGGAGACGAACAAATCAGCCAATTTGCTCCCAGTAACGTCCCACAAACAGCCATGAAGTTATCATGGCTTTATTCTTGAGTATAGTATTTTTTTCAGTAGAAAATCCCCAAGGATATTTTAATGGTTTTCCCACAGAGTAACGTGCATGTGGAACAGACTCCCTGAAGAAATGAAACGTGAACTGGTTAACTCATTCAAATAAAAAAACAGGTTAGGAATGAAGTTGCAAACTATTTGAATAGGTACAGACAAGGATAATCAAACACTCCATGTCAAACGATGGGTTCTGTTCTTTCTTAATACAGGGATTGGCCACCCAGCTCTGCACTCCAATCTACCGCCGGGTTTTCCAGCTTCGATGCCGAGTGCCATGCAGACGGTATTCCCACTTTCCCAGGATCCCTCGGCTCAGCTTGTCATCCTGCCCACTGAGCCGCCCGCGCCTCATTCTACTCCTCATCATCTTGGTAATGTGTTTACATTGACCTGCCATGCACATTTATTAGGGTTCTCTTGCTTCAGTTTGGGATGAGGGTGAGGATCAATGAGTGCTCGGTTCTCCCGAAGAAAGACAAAAGAAATGTTGACAATTTTGCCTGTTGATTTAGATCACAATTGCATCCAATTTTATTCACAGTTAATAGATTTTGCGCTGCCTGGCTCTTTAAGAAGATAGGATAGACTTTATATGATAGCTAAGGGAAGCCACAATAGGGGTTTTGTGGACAAACAATTTGTCTTGTTAGTCCAGGTACACTTCCCCTGGTTCCGGCCTTCCTATTTATTCTTGTGTGGGGCTAACATAATAATAAACACAATGGCCATTTATCATAGCAAGGGCAGGACAATGTTACGATTACCATTTGTTTTGCATATCGTGAAGTCCCTGCTTTAATGATGATGTGAAACATATTCCTTTCCAAAATGCTGTAACGACTAAACAATTTCCCTTGTGGTTGATATGACTCAGTATCACTTTGAGTTGGCATGTTTCACTGGACCATATTTAGAATCGGGACTGAAAATCAAATCCATATGTTCGGTTTTTAACACACCCACAGCTTTTATAACAAGTTTCCTGTTTAAAAAAAGTAAAATAACTTTTAAAAGAAATAGATGTTTTTCCCCCACCCATGTGATTTAAAGTCACAGTATCTCTTTCTATTAATTCAACCCCGCGCCCATCAATAGTATCATGGATTTGAGGTCGAGCCCATTTCAATGTCACTCCCAATGATGTGAACTAGCATCATAAAGCCACTATTGGTATCTGTCATGAATTGACACCAACCATGCTCTCTCATTCAGAGAACCCCAAGGAAATGGAATACAGGAAAAAAAACAGAAAGAACAATACTTTCATATATGCCAAGTCAACGGGACAAGTGGGTGGGGGTGAGGTGGCGCGGGTTAAAGGACAGCACTGGGAAGAATTTGTTAATGTGAAAGATGGTCAACAGCTAGAATAGGTTTACCAGGAAGGGGATTTTCCCAGGATAGTGGACTCGTTTGAGAAGCAGAGATGCTGGGGTGAGAAGCTCTTCACTCAAACCCAGTTGAGTTCAGGACACCGCTGCACCAATTCTGGGGTTGAAATTGATGCCTTCACTCAGAGAGACCGTAGGAATGATTGTTTCAGAAAATGGAAATGTTACACTCCCGATGTGCGTGCGGCTGTGTGGCAGGGTAATGCTTTTCTGAGTTTGGGTCAAAGAGAAGGAAAGTCAAAGGTGGTAGAACATATCTTTTGTTCAATGTTCTACCACCATATTGTCTATGCTTAATTTCCTCTCCTTTCCATTGTTGCCTTTCCAGCTGAAGTGATTGATCCTGCACATTCTCTCTGGCCATCTATTTACCCAGCGCGAGCCCCCACAACACACATTCAGCATCCAGGCCAGCTCTCAGTCTACCCCCGCTCCCAGCTTCTACGTCAGCAGGAGCTCTACATGCTTCAACAGCAGCAGCAGCAACAACAGCAACAGCAGCATCAACAGCAGCAGAGGGCACAAGCCATGGAACTCCATCGCTATTCACAACTAGTGGTGAGAAATACACAAAGTGAATCTTGACTGTGTCAATTATGAAAAAAAATGACATAGAACAGCACAGAAATAAACTATTCAGCCCAACTAATCCGTGCTGGTGTATATACACCACATCAGCCTCCTTCCAAAACCTATGTGACCTCCTGATAACTCGACCATGGTTTAACTTATCACTACCACTTAAGTCATCACGCTGTCAACAAACCAACCGCATTTATTTATGTATTGGTACATATGCCTAACTCGCCACTCCTGATAACTCGGCAATGAGCCCTTTCCCCTTCATGTTATGAGTTATCAAGAGTTTACTGTATATATATATAACATAATATTATATATATGAGGTCTGAAATACTATCTAGTCTTAGCTTGTAAAAAAAAACAATTTTTAGCCAAAACATTTAGATTGCACAGGATTGCAGAACATTCTTAAATATTTAATCTTAATTTGCAAGCTATTTCTTCTTAAACGGAGCTGGCTTCCAAAATAAGGAACTTTCCATAGTTCTGTAGGGTCGAGAACGTGGATGACAAAATGGCCTTACAACAACAACAACAACAACAACAAGAACAATTACAAGCTAAGGTTAGATGGAATGTCAGGTCTATGGAGTCAAGCTTGTGATCATCTTAAACATATTCAATTCCTTATTTCAGGAATAATTTTTAATGTATGTTGGATTCCTTCTCTCCCACACCCTAAGCATGACACTCACAGATTTCTGAATAAAAGGAAGAGCATAACCAGGGTGGGCATTGCTGTTTAGCTTGAAGAATTATCATTGAGTCACAAAAGATGACTGTTCCAAGCTTATTCATGGGATACTGGTCTGATTGAATAAGTTGGGGCTGAAGCCCACTAATAAGCCTAAAGAGACCACTTTCTGTGCTCACAAACTGCAGTCAAGGCCTCGTTGAAATCATCTGGCCTGGTTGGCCCATTATTAAGAAGTTGGCGATATTTCAAAAAGACTTGTTAACGCCAGTCCTTTAATAAGCAACAGAACACATTTAAGAATAGCGTAATTTTAACCCACATATACGATCACTCTAATCCCCTCAACCCCTATTACCACAGTACCCACAGTCTTGCTGAACAAATTGATTCACGAAGAACAACCTCACTTCTTGCAGTTGCAATCTGATGTGAGAGTTGTTACTCCCGAGTAAATATTTGATGACCAAAAATGATTAAGTATTATTTGAATCAAAGCGGAAAGTAAGGATTGTTAGCAAGGTTGTAATCACAGTTGGAGGTTCTTACCACTGGTTTGATGGCATCTGCCTTCTCTGAACTCCCCACTCCTGAGCAACAGATCTGGAATAATTAGACAGTGCCTGGGGGTTTCTTAAGTTCTGAAGTAACTGTCGAGAAAACAGCGTCAAATTGGAGGTCAGAATCCCCCAGTGCGGCTTATAAACCTCTATAAAAATGTCTTGTTTCATTGATACAAAGTGCATGTGTCTAGACAGCCGAGTTTTGCCTCTGTTACCAGTCTAAGGTTGAGTCAAACCTTCCAATATGGTCTGCTCTAGCATAATGCCAGATTAAAGGAAGCGTGCAAACGTTTTTGACGTTAACAATCTCGGATGAATCCTGGTTCTTTTTCCTCAGGATCAACGCAAGGCGGAGGAACGCCGAATGGAAATGGAGGAGCCCGTTCTCGAGAGGAATAGGAGATCACACAAAACAGTTGCCTTAAACTCTCCCAAGAGTCATTCTTCACCCGTCATACTCCCACCCGGCATGTGTTCGACCAAACTCTCTCCGTGCCGCCACTCTCCGTCACTGAGACCCAAGTCAGGGTGCCCCACCCCCCAGCCCACAGCGATGTGCCCTTTGCCTTCCTGCCCTACTACTACTCCTGCCATCGTCGCTCAGTCCCCAGCCATCATCTCTCCTCCATCCCAGAATTCCGCAAGAAATGAGACCGCTGAAAAGCGAACAGAAGGACAACCGCCTCAGGATTATCCACAGTCATTCGAGCCAGGTACGAGCCCGGTTATACAGCTCTGACACAAAATAACTTTGAGTAGACGAATGGCACCAGTTACCTCCCCACCCCCAGCTCGGGAGCCAGGCCAGTATTGTTAATAGTAATAATAATAATAATAATCCTCACATTTGATATAGCGCTTTATCACATCGTTGAGATGTCTCAAAGCGTTTCACAGAATATACTGTAAAGTGGATTGACTGTGTAGCACCTTGGGATGTCCCCCCAATGTGAAAGGTGCCATAGAAATATAGATTTATATTGTATCATTTCTTTAAGGAGAATCATCACCGGATCGATAAGTGCCTTGAAACCGACGTACGACAACAACAACAACTTATTTATACAGCGCTCTTTACACGGCATAACGTCTCGGAGTGTTTATCATGCCTCTTACAGTACTCAGTGGAGAAATAGGGGGGGTCACTGTGAGCTAACAACCTGGCCATTCACCTTTGGGCCCTGGGCTCTAATTTAACATAGACTGATAGGATGAGTGTTTTCTCTGTCTGTTGGCTGTAAAGTTTACCAGGTGGCTGGTGTGCAAAGTGGAAAATGTCACAGTGTGCTGTTCTAAGGTTGGAGGTGAGACTTATTGATAGGGGCAGAGCAGAGGAAGTTTTAGTCTACGCCTATCTATACTTGACCTGCCCTGGGAATCCTTGATTCACATACTGGGAGCCTGAAATTGGAAGAGACAGTACTAATAGCCCTCGATCAGCACCTAAATAAGAGCTAAGAACTTATTCTAGTTTTTTAATCTGTAAATATTCCATACAACTCTTAAATGTTGCAACTTTTGACATGAAAAATGAGATCAGACCGCCTCAGAAATATTCCATACTTCAGCTATTATGTCTAACACACAAATCGTCAAGGTTAGTTGATGTACAGCTATTGAAATTCCTTTTGCATTTTGTATAAGAGAGGGAGAGAGAGAGAGAGAGCGAGAAGCCAGCATAACCCAGCAGGCACAAACCTTTATCCTTCAGTAGACCTTGGGAAGGAAGCAGTTTGGTGGAAGGATACATATTCATCTGGCAGTTATGTCAAAGAGGCGGATGGATACCATTAATAACACTCAGTTGATGACAAGGTAGTCAGGATGCTGCCTAGCAGAGTAAAGCCAGGGGCACCTTCAGAGAGGGGGAGGGGAGAGCGAGGGCTAACATTTGTTTTGTTTCTTGGGTCTTGTGTCAGCTGTGTAATCAGACATTGCCGAGGTTATCAGCTCAGGGCGGCAGCGTTTCAGGGACCAGGCTTAACCCTTTCCCCCAGGGTAAACAAATCGATAACCCTGCATAAGGTTCCCAAGCAAGCTGTCTAACCTTGATACCAGGCTTGGCCTGCGGCCTTCCTCCCATTCTATGCAAAAATCTCACCATGCTCCCCCCGCCTCCCCTTGGTGTTTTGCGAAGATAGGGCAGGGCGCCTGAACAAAACATGCTCTCATGATAGGTTCAGAGGTTGACGTAGAGCGAGCATCACAGGAGTCACGATTGCCATCAATAGGAACATCTCCACCAACAGGACATGGTTCAATTTATCAAAGGTGGAAAAAAATAGAACCAACCAAAAAACAAACCCGAGGTGCCCACTGCATTGGCCTGGGTCCCATGAAAGAGAAAAACAAACTAACACTAAGGCTAAAGTGCCTATTGTCATTGCCTGAGGGTCCCTGCATTCCGTGTCTTTTTTTGGAGAGCAGCATGTTTCCAATTATCATAGAAAGGTACATAAGCAGTTTGAATGAAAGGCAAATTAATCTGCTTGACAATGGATGATCACCTACAAAATTCACAGTCACTACACTTGACAGTAAATCCTGTGAAGTGTTTTGAGATGTTCTGCCAATGTGAAAGGCGTTATATCCAATACAAGGATTATCCTCAATTATTTTTATTATTATTCTTATGGGGTTGGGGGTGGGGCTGTGTGTGGGTGGGGGGGAGAGGTGACCGAAAGCACGGTCGAAAAGGAAGGTTTTTAGGCGGGAAAAAGGGGAGAGGGGGCAAGGCGAAGGGATTGAGGGAGAGTATTCAGCAGGCCAGCAAGTGAGTTCATATCCTATCATCCTAAATCATCCTACTCTCAAATCATGCTGAACCCATTAAAAGTGTCTCTCTCCCTCTCTCCCTCTCTCTCTCTAGATCTCCCACCTGGCTATACATACTCAAATGTTGCCATTGGCTACACATCCCCTACTCCCCTTGTGCACTCTGCCGACCTTGCAGACCCTCAAACTATGCAACCGGTCTCCACGGCGGCCGAACCAGAGCAGGCCAGGACGTTTACGCCTGGTGAGCAAATTCACTGTGAAACTCAGCAGTCGACCACGCTGGGAGATGCAAGTCCTACCGACAGACACGTTATCGCAAACGAGCTGGATCCCGAAGAGCAAAATCCGCGCAAAACCCTGCGTAACCCGGAGGAAAAGAAGGCGGGAAGTACATTTCCAGCAGAGAATTCAACCCAGGGGCAACTTGAGTCGTCTGCGCAGGAGAAGGTGGAATGCTCGAGGCATCTGATAGCTGCTCAGGGAACAGCCACTGACACGGAAATTCTAGGAGACGAAAGTGGACAAGGAAGTCCTTTGACGGAGCCACCTCCTCAAGGTAGTCAGTTCACGACTTTAACCAATGACCCAGTGGACGTACAGAACTCAGATAATTCTGGCCCAGTGATCGACACAGATTTTAAAAAGGAATGGAACATTGCCAAACAGGTGATTGAGGAGAAGGAGGAAGAGGGGGAGGACGAGGAAGAGGAGGAAATTGCCCATGACGCCTACGAGAGGGATGAAGTGTTCAAATGGCGGTTGGATTGCATGGCCGGGATGGATGCGCTGGTGGCTGCTGGGCTCAGCATGGGAGAGCTTCTCGCTTTGGAGTCTGAGGTTCCCCGCTCCTCTATGCCATCCTCACACACTACAACCTCGACCTTTTACCCTTGCTCAGGGATGCACGGAATAGCTTTGCTGAGTGAATTGGCCGACCTTGAACACCAGAGGCAAATGGGTGATGGCACCAGTCAAGGTAATGGAACCTTAAGTTACACGGTCTCATTTCCACTTTGATATTGCTGTCACCATGATGACTGCAGAGTGTTAAGATTAGCAATTTATGGCCTCTCTGAGATCATATTTAATGCCCTGTATTCACTAGAAGAGTTATTCTCGTTTTTTTTAAAAAGTGGTTAATGAAATGAAAGGATTTTGGCGACAGCTATTGAATTCTGTTTATTCAGTAGAGCTTGAACTTAGTTTTTTGCCTGGGTTTGAGTGAAAAACAAAGAAATCTGAATGAACTGTGATGAATTCCTTCAGGAGAGAATGTTAAGGTGAGAGATTGTGCGTGGATCCAGTTTTAGACTCGGAACTATATTCTGTTTGCATCATGCTAATGAAGAGTTGAAGTTGATATAATTTCTGCTGACCAATGACTAGGAACAAGGAGCAGGTTTCAAGCCAGTTGTTCAAACACATAATGGATTGGCTTCAGTCCTTGCCCAGATTTTGCATCACAATTCACAAGGCTTCTCGCGCTCATTGAATGAAAACCAATGAGTTATCAATGTTCCTCAACCACAATAAAATGCTGTCTGGCTTTTATCCGAAGTTATGCAATTAATTAAAATTAAAAGCTACTTTGTAATTTGGGGCATTTGAGGATATTTGTTAAACAAATTTTAAAAAAATAATAATCTTCTATTCAGCACAGTTCACATTCATGTGACTTTTCTCTTGTTTGGGAGGCTATTTTTAGAACAAACGTGGGCACAATGCAACAATAGCTTATTTCCTGAACATAAAACCCAACAGACCGCTGCCAAAAAAAATTCTTCAGAGCCTGAAACCTCTCATGTCTTTGTGTTGTAAAAAGATAAAGAAATTCTGTATTGTAAAGCAAATCTCCCCAAAGGCCTGTATTTCACTCTGGTCCCAAAACACAGGAGGTAAACAATGCCCGAATGGTCGTGATGTTAGCCTAGTGCAATCAAACACTTCCTCCTGTGTGGCAGCAACCATCTACTGATCACTTCCTTCCTACAGTTTTCACATGACAGGTTCACATGGGGAAATGACTTGACTTCCTGGTGGAAGCAGCGTTCAGGGAACAGAATTAAGGCCTCACTGATAAATGCCTCATTTAGAAAAATATTACTGACTGACGCAGTTCCATTAAGTTTCTCTAGGCGCCTACATTTATCTTCATGATTAAAATCCGATTAAAAAATCTTATTTCAGAAATGAGCAAAAGATTTCTCCAGGCCATCTCTTTATCAGAAATTCACTTACGGTGAAACCTTCCTTCTGCTATCCCTGACTGCAGTGGTTTCCTGCGGTTTCCACAGAGCTGATGTGTGGCTGTGCTCCCTGTAGGTGTGACCTATCCAGGACATATCCTTTATTCCAAGCAAATTATCCAGTTCTGTAAAATACAAGGAGATAGCTGCATTATGTATTTGATCAGTACATTAAATTCCTGCAACATAATGTCTGCCCACTTACTATATACCCATTTTTGGTGGCTGAGCCCCCATTGAGAAAGCCATACGACCAAGGATTAGGCTGCATCACCATCGGGAAGTAACTTGCAAGTCTCCCGATGCTAAAATCTAGTATTGCCTGGCAACCGGCCACACAGCCAAGGCCTGGGAACAGTTCATCCAAGAGTCTCGCTCTGCCAAAAAGTGGTGCCTGGTGCACGGAGATGTGAAAGAATCACAATTCACTTTATATTGCGTGGCTATTGTGCCAGCTAACTGAGCGGCAGTTTTATTAATTTTCGGTGGGAAGGTTTCTTTGAAACAGTTTTGAGGTAATAAATTCATCACAAAACGTAAAAATAGAAGCCGACACTTTTGGTCATTTTACTGCCAGCAATCCTCCACTGTAGCCAGCAATAGATTTGGAGCCCAGGCATTATTTATGTCAGGTCTACATGGAAAGTTTTTAAAATGTAGCCTGAACTTTATTTTGGACAAAAAAGTAATTTTATTTATGCTACATGGTGATGCTTGATTTTTCTGACCAAGAAAAACACCACACATAATTCTCAATAGTTGGATGAAAATACAGCACATAGTTAGTCTCTCTCTCTCTCTACTTTCTTCTCTCAAACAATCTCACACCTACACACCACATATAAATTAGAAGCAGGTACCGCAATAGACAGTGCAAGCGATGTTGCTGTTTTATATTAAAAAAAATCAATGAAAACTCTTATCAACTCAATCCATCATTTCAAATCAAAATGATTGACTGACTCAAAAGCATCTTAGGACACGTCAAATCCATTATAGATTTTTTTTATTTGGGAAAAGGTGATGTCATTCGGATAAAATGACCAGGAACCTGAGAGTGCGCATTGTGTTGCACTGTTTTATGACATCATACCGGTTGTCTGGTTGAAGGACTGGCTGACATCATTTGCTTGTTTTAGTCTCTGACCCTTTTTAAAGTGCCACATAAGCACAGCGCTGATGTTCGCCTTTTAACCCCTCGCGGCACTAGCAACGGCAATCGCCAGCTAGAATAGGAAGCGTCGGAAGATTACAACAACAACAACTTGCATTTATATAGCGCCCCTCACGCAGAGTAGCTTCCCGGAGTGCTTGATTACATTCTTTATTCGGGATTAGTCAGTGAATTCTCCATATGGAAACATAGACTGTGCGTCTTTCAAACACTGCGTTCTGCTATTTGGGATCGGAACGCTTTCCTTCAGATGTTACTTTTTTTGAGACACTGCGTATTTTAAACGTGGGACCCTGTATTTAGTATACGTTCGCCCACAAAACCCACAGTCACTCCACTTTGCAATATGACCTGTGAAGGAAGTGCTTCGAGACAGTCTCCCGACGTGAAAGGTGCTGTATCAAATGCAAGTATTATTTCTCGAGAGTGATCTAGTTTTCCAGGATTTTTTTTGTTACAAAATGGTTAGGTGAGGTATACTTAGGGAGAAGCCTAGAACCAAAGGTCTTTTTACTAATGGATGACCGTGTGCTTTTCATTCGATTGATAGAGGCAATAAATGGAAACAATCCAGTACAATTCATTATTTATGTCAGAATTATGCTTGAAAGAAGCTCAGTTTTGCCCAGACTCAAATGTGTGATAGAAAATGTGTCTATTGATGTCTTATTGATCAAAGGATCAATAGTGTACTTTTACCTTGTTTCTATTCGCCTTTCGCAGAACTAGGCAAAAATGAGAACAAATAATAATCAGTTTAGATCAGATTTGAAGTTGGGTAACATTACATACCTCACCTAAAACATGTCAGAGCTAATTCCGGCAAAAAGATTTTATATTTTGTCTTCGCTGAAATATGAATCGGTATTGAAATCAATATTATTTCAGTAAAAAATCTAAAGTTTAACATACCAGCATTGAATCAGTACGATTCTCCCTATTCAACACGGTGATTTGTAACAGAAATAGAAGTCGCTGGGAACACTCAGCAGGTCAGGCAGCATCTATGGAGAAAGGAAAGTGAGTCAATATTTCGGGTCCAGGATCCTTCATCAGAACTGGGGCATGTTGGGAGGGAGATGCTTTTAAGAGCTAACAAAGAGTGGGGAGGTAGGGCAAGGAAGACAAAGGAGAAATAATAATCCCTCCAAAAAAACAATAATTAAAAAAAATTGGTCATTTTCAATCTACGACTGTTTGTGGGACGTTGCTGTGCGCAATTGGCTGCCGCGTTCGCCCACAAATATACAGTCAATTCACTTACAGTGTGTTCTGTGAAGCGCTTTGGGATGTCCTCCCGACGTGAAAAGTGCTATATCAAATGCAAGGATTATTATTATTATTATAATGGGACAGAGGATGATGGGTCAAAGAGGTGTTAATGATGCAAAATAAAGGGACGGTGTGCAACAGAACAGGGGAATAGAGGTGGTAATAATGCAAAACAGAGGGGGGGTGGTGGGGGGTGAAAAATTGCAACTAAATAGGCAGACCAGAGAGAGAAAAGGTATGTCTGGGATCCAGATGATGTGGTAATGGTCACAGAAGAGGGGCAAATGTTATGTTGTGTTATGTTATGTTGAATGGCATTAACACAAATTGAGAGATCAAAGAGAGCATGAGAGGCAATATGACCTATAGAGGTGGGCCTCATGATAGACTAAAGTTCAACAGCCTCTTGACTTGCAGGAAATCTTACCGAGGTATAGTCAGAATTGGTCAACTCTTCCTCCATCTCCTCTCCCCCCGCACCCACCAAACCAGGAGAATTGTACGTATAAATATGAGTCAGGAGTGGTGCTCTTACTCAAACACACCATGAATCCAATAGCCCAAAATTCAACCATGTGCTGATTGTTGTCAATAATTCTATCCAGCAAGCATGTCCACAATGTCACCTACCCACTGCGACTCTAAAAACGATACCAAGCTCGCACTCCTTACCTGGTGATAATCGCATCCCCAGACCTTGTTGGGCAAACGGATTAAGGCATTTCTAGAAACAAATGATAGCAGACAGAGTGCATGACTGTTTTGACCACACTGGTTGCCATCAGCATCCAAAACATTTTGCAAAACTTTGATCCGTTTCATGACAAAATATTATAATCCTGTTGGCAAAGGGCAGAGCAAACCTATCCTTTGCTCCTCAAAATGAGCACAGTTCAAACTAATTAACACCATGATCTGGATAAGACTTGTATCCTCTTAGCCAAGACTCATGCTGTACAGCGTTGGAGAGGTACAACTAGGTTATTAGTTGTCTGAAGGATCGTGACCAGAATAGCACAAGAGTTGCTTAAGTAAGATCTCACATCCATGCCAGAAATGCAAGACCTGTTATATCTCTATCAATCTAAAATTTCTATGTGACATATGAGTGGCAATGGCTTCTGCCTGAAAACCTCTCAACGAGGCAGTCTTGCTACCTTGGACTCTGTCCCCAGATACAAAGAAAAGTGAATGTAGAGTTTAATCGAGGTTGTTAGAGGATGTTAGGGCGTGGCAAGGATCTAGGATTGATGCTTGTCACCTGAAACAAATTGCCCTTGTTTTTCTTCCTGAGTAACTACTCGTGTCAATTTTGTACAACAGATCTGGAATCAATACAATTGTCTCTGGGTTCACCCTTTTAGTACTTCGTATAAAAATCACACCATGGCTCTGATTTTTTGACAGATATGGTTTAAAATTGGGAATGGAGCCATGACTGTTTTCATACACTTATGCCGCAAAAAAGGTTATCATAAAAAGCCAACACGGTAGGAATAGTAATCAATGACCAATCGATTTTATTTTTTAAAATTCACCTTCCCAGTGAAATAAAAGAGCACCTTCTACATTATCACAATTGTCTGGCGATAAGGTTATTTTGACTTCTATCATTTACTGCACAACTCACGGAAATTGTCTCTTGTGTGAATATTCAACTCATTTGTTTACTGTGTCTGTACCAGAATCCGAGTCATGACAGTGATTAATATGTCTTGCGTGAGCCGTGGGGGTGATTGGGTATGAGCAGAAAGATGAGAAGAGTGCTAATAGCCTTCATTATTGTTTAGTACAGGAAAGGAATTGATGACAGTTGTATGGATTAAGTGCACGCTGACCAACGTCAGGCAATCTGCTTAATACTCAGTGAGCTCAGATGGCAATAAATCCAGGGTTAGGTATCAGAGCTCAGGTGTACGGGTGCAACATTCCTGCGTTTTCTTATCTTAGCAAAAAATGATTCGCGCAGATAGGCATAGAATGCTAGAATATTACGACATCCACGCTTGGTGTTGCTCTCAGTATTCTTGGCTCTCATGGAAATTGAAGGGGTGAGGAATTCAGCTTGTTAAAGGGTTATTAAAAGGCATTAAACAAGGCACGTTGGAATTGAGTATTTCAACCGCAGGTTGTAAACTTAAAGGGAAATGTTTCATTGTGTCACCGGGAAAGTGAATAGTGCAGAAGACTTTGTATCCGAAAACATAACTGGGGGAATATTACAACGGAGGGAGGAGAGGCAACCTGAGAGTGCAGAGAGCCATAGTGGTTTACTCTGCCGAGTTCAACAATTCCCACATCTTTGAAAACTCTTTGTCCCTCAAAAACAGATGCACTGTTGTCTTCTCAAATTGTTTTCGGAGGGGTAGGATGCTCAGACATGGGCATCACACCACTTGTTTCTCCTCCATGTCCTTCTCTTGCTCCGCATTAGTTTCACAATTATTACAATAACAACAACAACAATTTGCATTTATATACCGTCTTTCCCATAGACCCTAAGGAGAATTTCCCAAAGCTTGTTTTATTTTCCCTTTGTATATTATTGATAATATTTCTCTGTCTGTACAGCATTTCAGCACATATTTACAACATTGTATACACATTTCCCATGGTCCTATTGTACAATAACATTAATGCTGCAACGCGATTCTTCTATTCAGGGCTTGCAGTTTTTTTTCTGGACTTTCCACTCAGTTCTCCATTAATGCCATGAAACCTCTAATAAAGTGTCAGTGTTGCAATTGCACATGTGATAGATTAGATCTAATCTCTCCAGGTCCGCTATGTGATGACCGTGTAGAAATGGCCTTTTCCTTTCTTGCGCCTGGGGAGGTTTGGAGGGAATCCATCTTATCCTTGTTACCTGAGCGAAGAGCATTATTTCCAATCTCAGTTTGACACACTGGACCCAGACATCAGTGGTCTGTTCAGGTGCCACATCAAATGCAAACATTATTCTTATTCTTATTTATCTATTGATAATAGCTGAACGGAATATCTTTGCTGTTTCTACCGAATGCTGCATTTTAGACACCACTAACCTGTCTTCCTCTTTAATAAGGCAACTTGATTTTACATTTTGTAACTAGTTCTGACTATTTGCCTCACTCAATATAGCCCCTCTAACCCCAACAAATAACGGTAAGCCATAAATCTCCAAACTTACCCAGTTGAATAACCCAGGTGAAATGAACTGCTTATAATAACTATGCAGTAAAGCAAACTGCAACCACAACAATTTGCATTGATACAGTGCCCTTCACATAGGATGATGTTTCAAAGTGCTTCATAGTGACAGAGTTGGACACTGAGCAAGAGAGGAGTGGAAGTGGGAGCTGACCATAGGCATGGTTGAAGAGGTAGCTTTTAAGGTGGGATGTGAAGACAAAAAGAGAAGGGCGCAAAGGGGAGGGAGTGATAGAAGCAGGGATTTCCAGAGGTCGGATGAGGTTATTTGAATATCATGTGGTACTTAAGGAAATTGTGACCAATGCCAGCTGCGAGTGATTAAGATTAAATAACACGGTCAAAATTGTCGCGCCACGTTTTGTGAGCGAATGTGCTAATGATATCCAAAATGGTCTCGCACACAGGGGAGGAAGAGGCCGCCCTCAATCAAGGTCTCCAAAGCCTTGCTACCATTGCTGCTGCCCGCTCGCTGGTGGAGGCAGTGCCCATAGAGATGGGCGACCCTGGGAACAAAGTCATGGAGAGCAAACCCTATCCGGTCCGAATCCCGCGGGTGCTGAATTTACGAAGGAAATACTCGTGGAGTCCAAAGGCAGAGACGGTGAGTGTGATAACGGGTTATAAAGTCCACTGCACTTAGAAGGGTCCTTCCCCTCATTGGTCTACATCGGGTGTCCCCAACACACACACACACCACACACACACACACAAAACAGCAACCGTTTGGATGAAAAATTTACTCCACTAAGTTGATGGGTGCAGGACGGAGACAGAAGAGTTTGAAATGAGCCATCATTTTTAATTCGAATACTCATCGATTCTGCATTGAAATACACAACCGTTACGCTATACACGTATTTACCGAGCGCTGGCAGAACTGCACACCTTGTTTTCATGTAGCTGTGAGTCACAGGGACTTAAGTCAGTAATCCACTCAACAGATGGATTCAGATGTCCATCTGGCTTTCAGTTCTATTCTATAAGCAGGCATCAGACAATCATTTGTTGAAGTGTCAACGTATGTCTTGCTTCAGGGAGAAGATGCCAAATGGGCACAAGATAAAATTCGGGATTGAATAAAATTATTATCCCTACGTTAATTTTACAAGGAAAAGGAATGTCCTGGTCTAAATTAACACAAATGGGAGGGAAAAAAGATTACAGCTATTATCACCTTTGCTTTCACTTAGACAAAGTATAAGGAATACATTATTCTAGCTTTAGGAAGATATGCATTATCATAGCATTCGCCTGCAAAGTACAGTCACTGTACTTTACAATTTATCTTGTGAAGCTTTGAGATGTCCTCCAACGTTTATCAATATGTAAACATTATCGTTTTTATTCACACATCTATAAGATTTAGATGTTAAGGTTAGAATAATGTAGAATAATCTTGACACGACACGTCAAGCGACTGCCAGGATGGTGGAAGGTGAACTAGGAGGACCTTGGTCTTCTTTTGCCTAGCAAATTCTTATGTTCTTAGGGTTGATTTGGTTACGTGACATTTTTATAAAAGGACATGGTTCTTATTTTCATATCAATGCTTTCTGTTCAAGGTATGTCCTCTGAAGGCTGCTATAGACAGGATGGACACCCAGGAGCTGGAAATGAGAATGAGGTTGGCCAAACTCCAGCGTCGGTACAAGGAGAAACAGCGAGAACTTGCCAAACTTCAGCGGAGGCATGATAACGAGTGAGTGCCCTTTCGTACAAGCATCTTCCCCCGCGTGACTCGAGCCCAAACCCAATTCAGCTCATTCAGTAAAGAATCCTGTTAGTGGCCAGTTCAGATCAAGAAATCTACAACAGCAATAACAACTTGTGTTTATATAGCACCACTCACACAGGGTAGCATTCCAGAGCACTTACAACACAGTAGAAGGCCATTAGGCCTATCGTTTCTGTGCAGGCTCTTTCTCAGAGCAATCCTTTCAGTCCCGTTTGCCTGCCCCCTTCCCCACCACCCTTGCCGTTGACTCCTTTGTGGGTAAATATGGTTAAAGAAATTGCCAACCACTTTTCTCAGCGGTGGAATTCTTCCATTAGAGGGGATTTACAATCTTTCCTCTAATTCTTTTCACCACTGGCTTGTTCTTCACTTTCACACCCTCCTTTCCCCACTTCTCCTCCCACTTTGCAGCCCCTTAATCCAGGAGAACAGGATAGACTAGTGCCACAGGCTTCTAACATGGCTTCACTCGTTGAATTCACGGCATGGATGATAGCAGGTGTGCTAGTAGTGTTACAAGCTGTGGCATTTCTTTTTGCTTCCCCAGAAGGAAATGTATTATCTTCAAGGGATATCGGAAGGCTTAGAATGCCAAAGACCTTTCAGGCCATTAGGTCCAGTCCTTCCATAGACCACAGGCGTTTGATCAAGATAATATGATGTGGCATAAATGTAATGTGGCAATTGGGGCATAAATATAAGGCAGACAGCAGCAGATGTAAAAAGGGATTTTAGGAGGAACTGCTTTACATTTGCACAGAGGGTGGTGAGAATGTGGAACTCACTGCCGGAAGCTGTGGTTCAAGCAGAAAACGTCAACTCATTTAAGAGGAAACTTGATGCATGCATGCGGGAGAAGGGAATTGGAGATATACAGGAGAGGGGATTAGGAAGCTTGGAGGCTCGTTTAGAATATAAACACAGCCCGGATTAGTTGGACCAAATGGCCCTGTTTGGTGCTGTGTCATTTTACTCAGTGCTGGTATTCAGCAAATCGTAAGGGGAGTTATAGGAGACAAATGCATGACAAGCGTACGATTTCCCCTGGTGACAAGACAATAAGAGAGTTGTTTATTTTCTCTTTAATAGGAGAGACGAAAACTCAAGGAGCCCAGCAAGGCGAGGGCCCGGGCGGCCGAGGAAACGCAAGCTTCTTTCCACCGTCCTCTCCTCTTTCGGGCAGCTCAGTGAGCTGGGCAAATGCGAGGGCAAAAAAGCAACGTAAGTCCATTGCTTTAATACGCAATAAGTATTAGTGTTCCACAGTGCTGGTTATTCATCAGGTGAAGTTCAGTGCTTGCAGCCTGATGTAGGGTATTAGTCAGTTTGGAACAGGTATGGAAATTAAACCCAGATAAAGAGATTTGCCTTGATCTGTAAGGCAAACCAGAAGCAACCAGTAATTACAAATCCAGAATATCTGGTACCAGAAGCCAGACTAGGCTGCAGATATAGAGTTTAGGAAATATATCGACTGATATATTTATTGATGATAAGTGACAAATTTGTCACCACAGGGCCACATTTAGAGGGCTGCACAGCGATCATTAATTGGTGTATGATCGCAACCCATCCTGGGTGTCCTTGCTACCCTCTTTGTGCAGTGATGAATGGCTTTTCACAGGCAACAACCATACTCAAAGGTTTGCATTTTCTTGATTTTTTTTTGAAGAAACCACATCTGCACTGTGGCTCCTTTTGTGGCACAACAAAAGCTGGACGCTGAAAGCCTAGATGTCTCATTAACTTCCAATCAGCTATATTCTGGGTCACTCCTGTTTAAATAGCGTGAGGGTGAATGGTATTCTCACTTCATTTACATTATAATATATAATAATCCTCACATTCGATACTGCTGCTTTTCTTGTCAAAACGTCTCAAAGCACTTCATAGAGTTCTCTGTAAAGTGTAGTGACTGTATATTTGTAGGCGAATGAGGGGGCCAATTTGTGCACAGGAATATCCCACAAACAGCCATGAAGTGAATGCCTGATTTCCTTTCTCTAGGGGATTGTTGGTCAGGGCACCAGGAGAAATTACCCTTCTCTTTTTGAACAGTGTCATATGCTCCTTAACACCTAACCTCTGACAATGCAGCATTCCTCCAGTATTACATTGGATTGCTCGTCATAGTTAGACTATGAGCTCAAAGTCCTGACCTGGGCCTTGAACCCACAACCTTCTCACTCAGAGACGAGATTGCTACCGACTTAGCTCAGGCTGTGAAAGTGCTCCTGAACGTGAAAATGTTCCCTACTAGCTACATTCACTTTCTTCGTGACTGTCTATATAGAGAAATTAGACCCAACAACCTGTTTCAGTGTGAATGAATCTGGATTGTATTCAAATCTGAAGTGGAGTCTGTAGTATAGAAGCAATCTTCCTGTCACACGGGGCAGCACAGAAAATCACTCCTGTAACCATGGCTTTTACTAGTATTAGCTTGGTGCCAGTGAAGTGTAAATAAATGCTTGGAGTAACAACAAGGTTCACTTTTGATCTCCGCTCCCAGGCAACGGGGATGACAGTGTGGTGATCCATCCTGCATGTCTGGTTGAATGAATTGTAAAAGGTTTCGAGGTCTATAGTTGTGTAAATGTCGAAGCCCTTGGATCTTATCTCAGCTGCACTGAGTGTAAGTGTTGGGTGTTACTCTATGCACTCCCCTTAATGGCCCTCCGAAGATCTGTTTTGAAGTTCTTAGCCTTGCAATGAGTCTCTTAAGTTTCCAGCTTAGAGCAAGAATCAGAACTTCATTTATCTCATTCAACAACGGGAGTGCCTTTTGTCAACTTAACACAAAATACCGTTAAATACCACTGCACAACGTTGCAGTATCTGACCTAGAAGAGAATTGGCGAAACTCATCTGGTGAAGGATGCTGAGACTGAATATCTAGAGGCTAGCGTTCACATTTGTAGGTCTGTGTAGCAGGTGAAACCCTCTCAAAGTTCAACTACTAGAAAATATTGATTTAAAACAATCCGTAAGAATTTCCCACAGCAGGTTGTATTATTTTCCCATGACAATGTCGATATTGTTTATTTCATTGCGACAAACAAAGTTTGAAGTGCCTCGGGAAGTCCTCCTGACGTAAAACACTATAAAAATGTAAATTTGTACTGCATTGTGTTTCCGAATAATCTTTACAATATTAAGAGCCAAACGTGCTTTTCTCCTAAAAAGAGGGGGGAAAACGTACAGAAAGAAAAAAACGCCTCGAAATGATGAAGACCAAAGACTCGCAGCTTTTTAGGAGTTAAAGACAGGGCTGACATTCCATTGGCACACTCATCAAAGTGCACAATAATGCAACCTGGAAACATTGACCAGTCTTGCATAAAACTCCCAGCACTGCAGAAGATAAAGTCATTGGTTACGCTGTGGTAGTGCTCATTATTACAGGGACTCATTATCATTCATTATCTGCCCAGCGATGGCATTCTCACACTGAAGAAACCCTGTTTAATTGGACCTTTTCTGATACAAATTGCCTTCCCCCCCCCCACTCCCATCCTCCACCCAGCAGGTATATTTGCATAATTCCTTAAAACTAGTCAGTAAGTTGATTGGTGTACGTAATGCATCAAGCTCACTGATTCAATAAAGATAGTTCAATTTGTACCAAACAACCGATCGCATTAAAGCTGAACAAATGAATGTTTAGTTTCCCAGTAGGAGACTTTGTCAAAAGTAATAGTTCAGGGAAAACAAACACCAGTAAACATAAGATTGAGAATGTAATGACTAATGATATATTTTTAACTGGAGCTGAAATCTGGACCCTTTCATAGAATTTTTTTAAATTCAGGTACTGTCGGTCAAATAGTAATTCTGGGGGGGATAAAAGGCACGTTAATATAATGAGCGCTATTTCTCTGGTCATTTCCCAGTCGTTTTCACAATGTATCACAAACTGCTTCGTTCTCAAACATCTGCCGGGCAGGACAGTTGCTCTATTTTTTGAGTTCCATAGGGCTACGTTACTGATTGACAAAACACTTCAGTCTCGAAGACAAAATGGGTGTGCGTCAGGACAGAAAAGTTAAAAAGATCGGATTTCGGCTATTGTTAGTGCTTCTGCGGCAGACTCACAGCTGAGCAAATTCTTGTTTCAGCCCAGCTTTGCAGTCAGTTTGTCCCCCGGGTTAGGTGTGTCTCTGCAGTTGGAGAAGGAAGGAGAATCTCAAGGGATGGGTGGGCGGTGAGGTGTGGAGGTAGGGGGGTTGGAAGAGAGAATCTTTCTCACATTGTTCTCACTTGCCACCTGGCAGTTCAAAGGGGGAATTGCATTGTCTGCAGCTGCAGTGTTTCATTGGGTTGGGTAGGACCTGACTTTTCAACCGTAGCAAAGATCGGTTGCAGGTACCCTCTGGAGAAATAGTCCTGGGAATTGAACAAATGGGATTGTGTCTGCAGGTTAAAACTGCAATGGTGACTGAAGGCTTGCAATGATGATTTACACAAGCCAAACACGCAGTCGTTTAGCATTAGAATGATAATCCTTGCATTTGATATAGCGCCTTATCACGACTTCGAGACGTCTCAAAGCGCTTCACAGAATATACTGTAAAGTGAATTGACTGTATATTTTGTGCGCGAATTCTACACATTTTGTAGAAACCTGCAGGAATCAGATCAACTACTTATAGAAGGTGGGCTCATAAAGTTTTAACCATGTGTTTCATGAAAAAGTTTCAGTCCACGCAAGTTTACAGGACACCGTTACATCAGCATGATCTCTCCTAATATGTCTTTTAAATAAAGAATGGCGCTTTCTCTCCAATAATCTGGAATGTATTTGGGATGAATTAAACACCAGAATAAAAGTGGCAGTGAAAACCACCAAAGTTTGAAATCTGGCATCCTTTAGGGTTAACAGGAAAAAAACTAACACTCCTGAAATGTGTAATTCATGTTGCTCCTTAGTCAGTGCAGAGCAAGGAAAGACAGAAAGTGTCTGTCTGTCCTTATGTTTCTGGTATGACATGTGGCGCTGACTAGCAGTGCAGACACAAGGTTTCTGACATCTTCTCACTGGAATTGGTGCATTTCATGTGTAACCTGCAGTCTCTTGTTCAAATTGTGCGGCAACGATAATGTAAAAGAGAGCAGCTGTGAACTTTATCAGCCCTGTACCTGCAGTGAGCTCCAGCATCGACATGCTGAGTACTAATGTTAAAGTGCTTTATATGACTAATTGAAAATCTTATCTGAATGGCTCAGCCATCCTGAACCATAACCCAACTGAGTAACATCTTACTGTGTAGTATTTTGCTTCCTTCCCTAAGGAAAGTCTGTCAGGATGAGCAAACAGAATGCTATGATAGTCCCCTTTTATTTTCTTGTATTCCGCTAGTAATTTGTATTGGAGTCACAAAGAAGCTGACCTGGAACATTTTCCCCCAACCTGCTAATGGAGGGAAATCCGTAGAGAGATTAGCTCCAGAAAGAAAACTCTGTGATGGAGTAGCCTTTGAACCTTGACCCAGGCTAAAGAAGATAAGAATGGGGAGTCTGCTTTTGTGAATTCCAGCTCAGTAGACCTGGTGAAAACCTAATAATTAAAATTTAATTGATTGCATTCCGTTTGATGTTTGAACCTCGGTTTATGCGGTAAAACTCTGAGCCCCTTTTGGCCTCATCAGTAATAAACCTACCATCAATGCATCTCCCAGGCGAGGACAAAGGGCTCACTCTTGTATGGTGCCCGAGTTTAGAGCAATGTAGTTGTATTGGCAGGCCATTTTTTTTCAAATGAAAATAGCCAGTGATATAATTTACCTCCCATTGGGAGACTATGCTGTTTGCTTGCCTGTGGCTGCTTCTGACATTTTACCTGTTTTTTGCCATTCCCATCATGAAATTCTTCATGATGCCTTGTGCTCTTTTGCCTGAAGTTGAACCGGTCGCGTTTTAATCCAAGCACGCGGCTTCACGGAAAATAAAACGAGCCATTTTATAAAGGTCTTGAGACGAGGTTCGAGACGAGGCACCGACCGTGACCACAGGGCACGATTGGATGGTGTCCAGGGAATTCTGAGAGCTGCAGGCCTCAGAAACACTCCACCGAAAAGATTCCATTGCCCCCTTTCCAGAGAGAGAGACTACCTAGAAGTGCCAATACCAGCACACTGAAGCTCTCATGAAATTCCTTCCTCTTTTCCATTAGAATCGTGGGATCTTCAACATTCACCTCGACAGGCAGGCTTGATTTAATC